AAAAAAAAAAAAAACCACAAAAACCCCACAAAACAAAACCCCAAAACCTTCGCACACCTGTCAATGCCCGAGGACACAACCCGACCCTACACTGCCAAGGGGTTCACCTTCCCGAGCAACAGGCACAGCCACTACCCCCTTGCCATAGCTACAGGAAAGATACCCAGCCAGGGCTGGAGCTATCACCCCACCCAGCCAAGTCATCAAATCCTGTCCTGGTGATGTCAGCCTTCTCCTACGGGAAGGGGAGATGGAGAGACAGAGTCGAGGAACACCCAGATTGCCAAAAAGCGATTAGAGTTCAGTCTGCAACTGTTTCGCCGCTCTCGTAGGAAGCGGAAAAGAGCCGGGAAAATCCCAGCCCTTCCTCTTGCTCTTTTTCGCGAGCAGCGCTGGCTGGCCCCGCAGCACCCGGCAGATGATGGGATGCGTTCCGGCGGGCATCGCCCGGCCAGCGAGGCGAGAGGCTTGCAACCCGCCGGCGCAACAGGCGCCCTTCCCGGCCAGCAGCCACCCACTGCTGCAGTGCGTCCCCGTTTCCCCTCCCTCCCTCTCTCCAGCCGGCGGCCACACCACGTCTTCATCCTTCAGCCGCGAGTGCGCCCGGGCTCAGCGGCCAGGCTTCCTTCCCCATCCCCTTTCCTCCGGCAGGCGGCTGGGGCAGGGGCTCTTTCCCGCAGCCCCCGGCGAAAGGGGAGGCCGCGCCCCTCCCGCCCCGAGCCTCCCATGCAGGCGCTGGGCCGCTTCCAACCGAGCAACACGCACTGCGCCCCGGTCCCCGCGGCCGGGGGGTGCGCGGGGGCCGGGAGGAAGAGGAGGAGACATGATGTAATGCAGACAGAGATGGGCTTCGCCGCCGCGACTGCGTTTTTTTTTGGGGGATTGGGGGGGACGGGGGGGGCGCAGTAGCTGCAGCGCGGTGCCCTCCCCCGGCCGCCTCCCCCCGCTCCCTGCGCAGTGCAGCTGGTGCCGGAGCTGAGCGGGATCTTTAGCCCGCAGACCCGCGCCCCTCCCGGCGCTGGGGCCGTGGCCCCRGGGAGACGCGCCCGGCCCTTTCCGCAGGGGAGGGAAGGCGAGGCAGGCGGGAGAGCGCGGGGCCGGGGCGCCCACACACGGCAGGCCCAGGGAAAGGGGAAGGAAGCGGCGGAACAGGAAGGGCCGCAGCTTCGCAGCGATCCCGCGCAACGCGGCGGGGGGGAGGGAGAGTCCGCAGCCACCAAGCCGCTCACCCCGCGAGAAACCAGGCGAGGAAGGGCCCCAGCGGGGTTCCCCCCCACACACCCCCGCTCCTCTCCGGGGACAGCCCGGCTCCACCAACCCGACCGTTCCCGGCTCCGCAGCGAGCGGCACTGCGCACCAGCCCCCGCGCCAGCCCCGGGCACCCCGTGCCGCGCCCGGCCGGTCGARCGAACGAGCGAGCGAGCCCCCTACCATGGCGCGGCGGCGGCGGGCCCGGCGGCGGCTGCACGAACTGCGCGACCACGAGCAGCGGCGGCGGCTGCTGCCTCCTCCCGGCGCGGCTCACAGAGTGCTGGGGCTGTGAGCCTGCGCCGCCCGCTATATACGTGGGGCTGTATCCCTCCGCCGGAGCGGGGCCCTTTTCCCTCCTCCCCGGCGCGGTATGTGCGAGGTGACTGCGGCGGGCGGCCCTGCCCCCTCGGTGCCCGGCCCCTCCCCCGGCCGGGCCGCTCCTGCTCCCGCAGCCCCGCGGCCGATTGCCCCCGGAGGGGCGAGGGCAGCGCGGTGCTGGCAGGGGCTCTTCTCCGCCGAGCGCTGGTGCCGGCGCAGCCCGCGGGGAGCGGTCACCGCCGGGTCCCTGCTGGGTCCCTGCAGCTCTCCAGGCTGGAACCCCCGGAGGGAGAGCATCTCGGCCAAGTTGGTGCTTTTTKTATTTTCTAGACAGCATCCCCGCCGGCGGGGCGGGCCTGCGCTCCCCTGGGGAGCTCAGAGCGGCACCTGGGAGAGGAGGATGGCTTGGGGACGGGGAGACACCTTAATAAAGCTCTTTTTTTTCGGTGACCAGGCATGTGCGGCAGCGACTGTAAAATTAAAATGTTGAAGCGAGCACAGCTGCCTTTTTATTAGTCRTAGAGCTTTTGTCAAACATCAAAATCCAGATGATGGTGAAATTCAGTCCAGAATCGGATGTCTACAACTGAGGTGTCATTTCAGCCCCTTCAGCAATTGAGAGGCAGCAAAAGCATGTCCTGATGTCAGTGTTTTCTTCATTTCTTCTCTGTCAGCTCTGAGGATTTTGTCCACACTGGTAATAAGCCAAAAAAAAAAAAAAAAAAAAAAAAGATTGCATCCATACTGTACCTCCTTTAACAGGTATGGAAACACAGTCAAACATGGACCCACATTGGAATCTAGGATTTTAGTTCCATTCATGACAGGTTCCCTTAAATGTTGAGATTTTTTGTAGTTCAAGATATTTTTAGCTGAAGGTTTTAGTTTGGGCCTCTCTCTGGATTGGGAGGCTTGCAGTATTTCCAATGTGGTCATAATTCTGATAAATCTGCTTGCAGTATAGCACTAAATCTTTTAAAATTCATTTGTCTATTCTGTTTTTTTGAAAAATCACGCATACTTTCTGTGTTTGAAATAAAGACAATCAGTTTGGTTCTGTTTGTTTAACAATTTCAGTAGCTCTGCCACTGAAGCTACAATTTATTTGCTTGCCTTTCTGGAACATAGTGATAGGCTGGCAAGCACAACAGTTACCTGTTTCCAATGTAGAGGGATTTCTCAGCAAACAAAATAATATATTTAATGTGTCAGTTTTGTTCCCAAACCATTCTAACATTTGTATAGCAACTACTGTATGAAATACTGTCAGAAAACCAATTTGCAGCTGGCTAGTCTGCAAATGATAGGTTTATAGACAGCTTCCATTTTAGATTTGCAATGCCCAGCCTCCTATTTTTAATATGCTTTTTTTTTAACTACCAAATAGTAATGCTGATTTTTTTTTCCTGTGGAAGAACATGTAAATTGACCTTTTGTTTTCAAACCAGACCAGCAATTTTAAGCTCTTACTTTCCTAGCTTAATTTCTTTCTGGAAAGCATGGTGCAATATTTGATTGGTGTGAGCTACAAGGGTGTTTGCTTGGATAAATGAATCTTGGAACTCTCTGAGACTCACAGGGATATGTGAAGAACAATGTTCCTGTACAAATCGTTCAACTTACTGTGCTGGTCTCACACAGGTGAAGATCTCATYGTTAAAACACTGAATTCTACATAAATACTGGGCTAAAAAATTATACAGTTATCTTGCARAAAAAAAGTTAATATAAAAGTAATCTTAACAACATTTAAATGTGATGGTTTAGAATGTGGGTGCTTTATTTCAGTCTCTTTAAAGTTAATTTTAAGCACATATAAAATGTTCTTCCATTGATCCAAACCTTCACTTTTTAAAATGTGAAGGGATTAGATTTATCTGTGGAGGAGAGACTATGAGACAAGCAATTAAAATTTATGTAGATTTTCTTACAAACTATCAGCATTACAGTGGTTGGACATACGTGATGAAACTTGGAAATTTGAAGTAGAAAGCCACCCAGTCACATTCAATAAATGTTGCCAAAGATTAACAGGGCCTTTGAGTAGGACTTCTGTGCATTTATTCCCCTTTCTTTTTTTTTTTCTTTAACCTTTTGTGTCTACTTTTCCTAACTCTCAATGGTTCATGTTAATAATTAATTTATATTTAAAATGAAATTTGGAAATAAAGTTACTTTTAAAGTACTTTGGAATATAATTACCTTGCTTTATTAAAAAAATAAGGATGATGAAGTAGGATGCCACAGTAGTTTCTGTTTAAATTGCATCATTCTGTATTTGAAAATATTTCACAGCTCATGTTCCAAAATACCATTCTGACTAAGGGGATTTTTTWTCCTAATTTGACATATGGCAACCATAAATGTAAATAAAACAGAATGTTAATCTTTTGTTGCTTATTTAATGCAACCCCCCCCCCCCAAACCATCTAAACTGGCATCTGCCTGTTCCTTGTAAATTTGCTTTCACTCAATTGAACAGCTAGATCTAGTTCAGTATTGTTTCTTAACATTTACATTCAGTTGTGGCCAGGCAAGAAATGCCCTTGTCATTCCAATGACATACAATGTCAAATGATTTGCCAGGATCTTCTACAGTCTCATTCAAAATCTCCTGAATCTCAGTGGGAGCTGGACTGGACTATGGAATTACCCAGTGTTTGTGCCTGACACCATAGAACTTGGCCATCTCTTTGCTAAAAAGCTTTTCTATGAACAAAGAGCTATGCAATAGCTATTAAGATGAATTTTGASTGGATACATTTACTGTTTTATATTACTTTGCTCTGTAAGGATGCTCTTGTTTACTTGTGTTTGAGCTGTAATAGTAAGAAAATATTATTTTATAAATTTATTTGTAAAATAAATAGAATAGTTGCAGTGGAAGACTTGTAGTCATTCCACTTAGTATTACATTCCTAAATTTTAACTTAATGTGATAGTAAGATTACAGTGTTCGTCTTTATTTTGGCAGAGATTTAATATGTCCATTCCTTAGGAGCAGCTTAAGATATAAGGAGCATATAAGGAGGAATTCTGTTGAGAACTYGACAAAATAATAAACCTTACTATTTACATACAAAGTGTGCTTTTCAGCTTTGGTTTTGTTAACATAAGCACTAAAGAACATGACCTCATACGTATTACTTGTTTTCTTATACATATGTAAGTTTAAAACACTCTGAAAATTAAATTAAAACATTTCACAGACTTCTGTCCTGAGAGAATGGATATGAGAACAGATGGACAGAAGTTTGTTGTATCATTTAATGCACAGCTGGGAGGCTAATATTATGGCAATAAACATAAATAACCAGTTTATAGTAAGTTAGAAGTACAAGAAGCCAACATCAAGTATATATGTGCGTGCAACATCTGTGGAACTGGAAAAAAAATTAATGGTTAGTTGTCATGGGTATAATATTGCCAGTTATAGGTGTGAATTACCCAAACTAAATTTATTGTACTGCTTTTCAAGCCAACTGGAATTCTGTTGGTATATCAATTTTTTATACTGTCTACAAAATTCTCTTCATATAGGCAATGTTTTTGAGGGAGACTGTTTGCCACAAAACTTAAACTAGTATCTTTATCAACTATAAGCATCATTAAGATTGCAGATAAGTGTGTGGAACTCCATTGTAATAAAAAGGTAGAACAGAATTGATTTTGACCACATTTATRAAAGAGGTGAAAATAAAAATTGCTTTCATTTTAACATGTAAAGTTTCAGACCTTGGAGCATTTTTAAATGGGTACACACATGTTCYTATAAGTAACTGTTTCTTTTCTGAGAGAGATTAAAAAAAACCCAAACTCTCCCATCTTTTATATGCTTGTGATTTTTTTTTACATTTGCCTCATTCTAACTGGTGTGCATCAAAAATCGCACACAATTATGGACTTTCACTGAGCATTTAGTGTAGGAAGGCCATCTATGTAATCGAATAATCAGTGATTGTTACCTACGTTAAATGTCTATTGTCTTGTAAAGTTTTAGATGTTGAAATAAAACTAATTTAACCAATTAGTTAGAACTAAATTATTTACACATTGCAATTAAATTAGTGAATCCTTTTCCATGTACCTATGTAAAATGATATCCTTGAGACCCAATACTTTGCAAAGTTTCATGTTTTATACTTAGCATAGTTTGAGTTGGAAAAGTAAAGATCCTATCTTAAAAAGACTTGGAAATATGGGAATTACAGACCTGCTTCCACACAGTCTCACTCTTACATCTTGCACATTAAACATCATAAAACCTTTTAAACAAAAGTGCATTTTCCTACTTCTTTTAACGCTTGAAATGTAAAATAAATGAAAAAAAAGACAAAGCTTTTTCACCCAGTCTTAAAAAACCCCTAACCTTTCTTCATAGGTCTATGCAGAGTTCTCTAGAAACATTGGAATATGTGAAAACAGGATTTTCCTTCTCCGTTTTTGCAACTGCCAGTTTCATAGAAAGGTAAACATTGGATGATTCATGATAGAAACAAGTTACTCGCTCCATTTTTCTGTGTTTTGTTACCATGAGTGTTTTTACAGATAAAGGTCAAATTGTATCCACTATTTTTCAAGAATCAACTACAGAAGAGGATATTTATGTATTGTGTGTTTGCTAAGTATTTCATATTTTTACATAACATTGTCAGGCATACCTAGATCTTGCTTCTTCACTGATATGTGCATGTATAAGAACTATATTCCCTGATGATGAGTCCAGTTAATAAATCTGTCAAAGGAAAGTAATATATTTTTTCCATAAATATATTTTTAAATACTCTGTATAGAACAATACTTACAGGAATGTTTATTCTAATGATAGGAAAACTCTTTCTAATTTCAGTAGATGGAATCCTCAAATTCTAAGTGATACAGTGTGACAAACAAACCAGTTTTTGTCAGATGCACCTAATTAGGAATGTCTCGAGTTTGCGTTTTATTTCTTAATATGCTGGAAAAACGAGTGGGCCAAAA